GCAGTTTCTTTTTTTTAAAAAAAATCGCAAACATTGTTCCTTTACTTACAGACAAAATGTTACATGATTGGCTGCTATGTGTATATTCAATTATGTACAAAAAGGTACAGGATTAGCAGGACTGGGGCACAAGCAGAAATCCCTTCAGGGCAAATGTAGCCGAACGAAATGCTAACTGACTTGGCTTTTTTTTTTTTTTCTTTTTTTTTCTTTTTTTTTTAAGCTTTGCTCACCACAAACAGATGTCCTGCCCTCTCTCTCTTTTTCCTTGAAAGAAAAAGTCACTGATTTCTCCCACCTACCACTTCTTCATTCTTTTTGTGTGTTTAAACTTCATTTACAGAAAGCCTACTTATGCAATAATCAGCAAGTAGAAAAACTTCACCTGTAAATACAAAGTAGAAATGTTATTTCACAGCGAGAGGCTGCAGCATTGCTGTCTCCAGATCTCAGTGGAGAAGGTGTGCGTGTGTCTATTGGTGGAGGTGTCAAACGCCACGTTAATTCCAGATTCTGAGAAAGCTGTCCCAAGATCCCGTAGCTACTGCCATGCCGTCGTCAGTCACCCCTAGGCAGCTGACTCGGTTGTCGTGACCAGCAAGAACACCTGAAGGGTCAAAGAGCACCGCACTTAATCAAACGGCCCTCAACAATCTCCTTTTAAGAAACAGAGTCACCATTCTCATGTTCTCAAATGCATTTATATCTCCGTTTTCAGAAATACGTTCTCACATAAAATGCCTTAACAGGACAGGGAATGGATTGAAGTACCAAAAAAAAAAAAATCTACACAAGAACAGTTGACTTCAGTTGTGAAAATCGAGGCAAGATTGAAACACTTCTGTAACAAATGTGTAACTTTTTTTCTTTTAAAAAAAGTAATGGTTGCCCCTGGCCCAGGGGTAGGCAACCTTGGCTCTTTTATGACTCTTTGAAGTCCACAAGTCATAAAAGAGCCAAGGTTGCCTACCCCTGCCCGTCATGTCAGACTCTAGGGGGTGATGCTCATCTGTTTCCTAGCTAAGGAACCAGCATTGTCTGAAGAAATTTCTGTGGTCATGTGGCCAGCAAGTCTATACACCAGCGGTTCTCAACCTATGGGTCGCGACCCCATTTGGGGTCGATCGACCATTTCACGGGGGTCGCCAAGCAAGGCTGTCCGCCATTTTTTTGTCCATTTTTTTCCCCCTTTTCCAGCGGGTGCCTTACCTCCCTTGAGCTGGGCCAGCTGGTGGTCGGCCTGCTCCGTCTCTGCCGCTTGCCAGCTACGCCTCAGCCGGCGCAGGGGGCGGAGCCACGCATGTGCGGTGCTCCCGGGCAGGGAAAGTCCTCGACTTACGACTGGTTGGGTAGTCCTCGACTTACGACCAGTTTAGTCCTCGACTTACGACCGGTTTAGTCCTCGACCTACGACCGGTTGGGGGTCGTGGCATTAAAAAGGTTGAGAACCACTGATTTAAGGGTAGGATTGCTTAGGAACCATAATTTTATAATAAATACCTGCACAGTCATTCGATCCCTTCAACCTGCATATATGATTGCGGAAACCCGAAAGTGCAGTAAAAATATTTCTAGGATTATCTGGACTACTTTTCAGTATTCTAATACTTGTCTGAGGCGTAATCTATATGCAATTAGGATTCACGCACACCCCTACAAAAAAGTACCACTAATTCTATGCCTTTGATTTGTATTTCCTCCCCCCCCCCAAAAAAAAAATCCCTTCATGCTACATGGTAAATTGAATGGCATCCCATGGAACAGTCACAAGCGAGAGGTTAATGCACTTAAATCTGGCTCCTATTAACCTATTAGCTTTCACTCACCTGCACGTTCGCCCTTCAGGGTATCCCAAACATTGCAGTTGAAATCGTCGTAGCCTGCCAAAAAGAGACGTCCACTCTTTGAGAAAGCTACAGAGGTGATCCCACAGATGATGTTATCGTGAGAATATAACATGAGCTCCTGGTCTGCACGAAGATCAAAGAGTCGACAGGTAGCATCATCTGAACCAGTGGCAAAGGCATGGCCGCTTGGGAAGAACTGTGAAATGCAACAAGAATATGCAGACAGAGGAGGGGAAAACAGGGAGAAAGCAGGGAGAAGGAAAGAGGTTGATTCTGGAATCATATGCTAACATTCGAAGTTCACTTACTAATATCTGTAATAATAATAATAATAATAATAATAATAATAATAATAATAATAATAATAATAATAATAATAATAATAAAGTTGGAAGGGACCTTGGAGGTCATCTAGTCCAACCCCCTGCTCAGGCAGGAAACCCTATACCATTTCAGACAAATGGCTGTCCAGTTTCTTCTTAAAAACTTCCAGTGTTGGAGCATTCACCGCTTCTG